AGATCGTTTATTCTGGATTGAAGCGTCCTTGCTGCCAAAGCAGTCGGCAACCTTGGAGTTTTGGTTTGGAGCAGACGATATGTTGAACAAATCGTCGTCCGCTCCACGTGTTTCGTTCGCAACAGCTCAGGCTGCTATCCGAAGCCAAACTGTGAGAGCTGTGTTGTAGAGGTGGGCTTGGGTGACAGGTCAGCGACCTCATCGGGGCAGTTGTGAGCCTGTGTCCTGGAGTGCTGCTGCCGAGTGTCGAGTCAGTGCAGCTTTCTAAGCACACCATGCAGTTGTCTTCTAGACTGGGGAAGTTGAGATAAGAGCGTATCATTAACACATCACGTCTTCGTCCTGACCAGCTCTGGGGACGTTCTTCGACACCGTCGACACGTTGGCGAAAGGCCTGCCAACATGTTGGCTAGAATGCTAGGCCGTGAAGTAAGCCGCATTGTATTCGGGCAGAGACGCGCAGATCAAACTGGCAGTAGTGTGATGTGTTTTCAGCAACATGACTGTGTTAGCTTTACGGGTTTCTTGGGCCGTGCACTTCAAGCTTGCGTTTGAACCTCGGTGCCCGTTACGAAGTTTTGCCTCACATCTGCTTCCGGCCCCGAAAGAATGGCAGGCGCTCTGAACATGTGGTGCGTCGAGTCCACAGATCCACTTCCGCTTGCTCTGTCAGTCAGGTGTGCAGCCGCGGTCGAGAAAGGCGCGGGAGAAAGGTTACAAGAAGCATTGCTGCGCGGAGGCTGTTTCGAGGCTGACTTCGAGGTACAAGATAGTGTGATCCCAGGCCTACAAGACTATAGGCCCAGGGCCCAGCTAAAGAAAAGGCCTGGCCGTTTTGAATTGGGCATCGCGAGGGTGGTTTCTCCTCGCGCCTGCCTTGCGGGATCTTGTGGGAGTTGGATTTTGCTTTTACACAGGAGACTCGAAATTTGAGGTTGCCAGGGCCGGCATATATTGGATACAGATAGATAGATAGATAGATACCCGAAATCCCAAACTCAACGATCTGCGCTGCTCAGATGGCCGACTTCGCCTTCGCACCGCGGCGACGCGGCCTCGGGCAGCGAGCCTGAAAGCAGAGCTGACAAATGTCCCCGGCAGTTTAGGGTTTAGGGTTTACAGGATCTTTTTCATCCTGAGAAGCTGTCTTTAATGCCCTGCTCTGTGCAGACGGGTGCCAATGCAGAAAACGACTCTCATCGACGCTAGCGGCCTATGCTGCTCCACTGGAGTAGTGTATCTTAGCAAGCCGTTTGACACAGAGACCACAAAGACCCTTGCCGAGCAATACATGGCAGCTGGCTGCTGTGGTGGTCAAAGACATACCACCCGCACATGTCTCACACCAGGATCATCCATGGCTTTTCGACGTTTCTTTAGAAATCGGCTGCTTCACAGATCTCAGTCCGAGCCGCCTCCCCGATGCCACACGTGACGAGAGCTCTCCGCAGCTGTTGTTAGTTTGGTCAGCTATGAGCCAGCGAGCCAGAAGGGCCCTGAAGCTAGTCATGGCCGACTGCCCCGCTTAGGACAAAGATCATGGATAGGCCAAGTGGTGCGACCTTTGCGACTCGGGCCTGCCAGAGAGGAGCAGACATGGCAAACAGATGTCTCCCTAGACACCCCCTAGACCCATCGCGTGGGATAATTATCACCCTCGGAACACTTCTCGATGCGCTGGATGTGATGAACACCAATGCCAAGCGCAAGCGGGAAGGGTCCGGTGGCCCAGTTGCTGATCTTTCATCATGCCCCTGCCCTCTCAAGTGAAAAATCCATTCGGCAGGATTCTTCCGCAGGAGCTGTCGGGATCTCAGCGACGGCTTTGTCCATCGGCGCGCTGTGTACAGTCCTTGTTGCACCTGCACCAACGAGGCCAGAAGGCCAAGCGGGCGTGGAGGTCTTCAGAGCTGCGATTAAGGCTCGTTAGTCCGGACGTTCGAGCACATGGTCTGCAGTCATGACTTACCACAACAGCTCCAAGCCGTTGTGCAGGATCTAGACACCAAGTCCCAGTCGAAGATCAAGAATCTTACGGACGGGAGCTGATCTGTCAGAGTCGGGGCTTAATTTGGGCATACCTAAACCTTAGCCTAGGTGCAGCATGCAAGGCATGTGCTTGACTTCACACCCTGCCCGAAATTAGACCACTGATGTTCGCGTTTCAGTCTCATCTTAGAAGTTACGTTGCAAAGCAGCGTTGAAGGACCATCATGCGATGAACATTTATTTCTCATGAGGTCCAGCAGATGAAAGATCCAGAGCCGTAAGTTCGCGAAAGATTTGGCCTAATCATTTTTGGTCAGACAAGGCGATGCGTTTTTTAATTGATAGAACAAACGAACAGATCCAAGAGTCGCAGTGATTGCCCGGCAAGAGTGCATCCGTTGAAGCCAACGCGGTCATCGTCATCTGTCATTATCCACCACTGGATTAGACTGATTAGACTATGCGACGTGTTCACACACTGTAAATCGGGGATGTATCAACATGCAGCAGACGCTCAGAATTCGAAAGGGGTTCCATGCTGGCTGCATCGCACAGGACCTGGCGCAGAGCCTCTACAGCAACTCCCATGCGGTGGTGCAGGTCGGAACAGGAGGGCTTTTTTTGCTTTTTGCCAGCGGCCCATGCCGTGCTTGACAGGCAGTTGCCGAAGAGATCCATGGAGCCAGCTCTGACAGGATCCAAAATGTTTGGTGTTGAGGGGGGGGAGGGGGCGGGGCGTAGCCCGATTGAAGTGGGGTGTGGACGGTGTCCCTTGAAACTGCTTTCTGCGAGAATACAGCCGCTGCTCTTCGTTGTGGACAGCATCCTCAAGAAGGTGGAAGGGAGCAAAAGCTCAACAGCCTGAGTCTGGCATGGTCTGGCTTTGCTCAGGTGGGCAAGGACTACAAGGTGCACTTCGCGGATCGCCTTCCCGAAGCTCTAGGCCGGGCGCTCGCTTTGGTTCAGAAACTTCTTCATGGTAACATCCTCTTCCCAAATTCCCAAATGTCCAAGTTTGGTTTTGGGCAGCGCTTCGTCACTTGTCCACAGCCGTTACTGTGGGATCCTTCTGGGACGCAAACTCTACTGTTTGTCCTTGTATTCAAAGGGGGAAGCCGACAGCCCACACCAGAGCAGGCAAACCTGCAGTCATGAAGCAGAGAGCCAGAAGCACTCTGTGCACTCCCTGGGCAGCTGATCTGTGGCAAGACTGTGCAAGGTTTTCGGCATATGACAAAGCAGGATGTAGCTGGCCGTTGGAAGCTCAAATGACGCGGTGGCGAAACACGGGGCTTCGTAAATCCAAAGCTTCTAGGTTGGACTGCCTACGTTTTGTCCTGCGGAGTGTGATTTCCCTTGCCTGACTGCTGTGGTTTGTAGTCTCGAAGCAAGGGAGCAGCAACTTTGAGTAGTTTTGATATGCTATGATGCATGACTTATGCGACAGCTCAAGCACGCTCCCACTCAAGCCCACGACAGGTGTGGCCTGCCAGAAGGTCGATCGCGAAAGCCATGCCTGGTCGCATCCCGAGCAGAGAGAGAGAGTGCAGCCGACCGAGGGTCCGATAAGCTCGGATTCAGGGCTTAAATTAAAGCTCAACTACTGAGGATGAAGAAAATGGTGGAGGAGTCTTGGCGGAAGCACGAGCTTTTGCTGGGACCTCGAGCTCGGTTCGGAGACCTTCGCTGTAAGCAGATATGATTGGCACACCGAGTGAAACCACATCTGAACACGAAGCTACAAACCCTAAATCCTAAACCTTGTGATTTCACTGGCTATGATCCTCTCTGTCTCCTAAACGATACGGAAAAAAGGCCCTGAAACAGAGCCTTCAGCTCTAAACCCGAGACCCGACGCCCTAATTTGGAGCACAAGGCCGCTCGGTGTCTTTGACAAGCTGACGGTGGTTTTCCAGCCCCAGGCCTGCAAAAGAAAGCACAGTGAGATGCCTGAAAGAAGCTGAATACTTTAGGGTGGTTTTTGGGGTTTAGGGTTACAATAGGGCTCTCAGGTCTCTGTTAGATCTGGCCTTGCCTACTCCAGGTGCCTGGCGCCATAGATCTATCTCGACAGCAAAGTTCAACCCTACGCTTCCATGAGAACCCGTAATCTCAGTTTCTACGGCTCATGGAATTTTGTTTGGATTTGGAGTGAAGGTTTACAACTCTATACCATGCCGACTCCTGAGACACCGACATGATCACATCATCCAAGATCGTGTATAACTATGATGCCAGTCGTAGTTACCATAAAAGCTTTTAGAAAAGTCCTTGTAGCACCAGTAAAAGTAGAGATATTGGTCGTGTGCTCGATTTTAGTGTCGCTGGGCTAAAGCTTGATTCCGACTTCATTCCGAGACCTTGCTGATAAAGTATCTCTCCCGTTTCGACTGGACCGTCTGAGGGGCATAGGCTGCCGCGGCTGAAACGAAAAGAGTTGCCAGACCTTGTCCAAGCTGCGACTCAAACCGTAGCTAAAGCCGTTCTCAAAGTGATCATCGAGGCATGCTAGTAATGTTGAACCCCAAGACAACACTTCCAGCGGTGAGCTGCAACGACATCGTATCCTGCATCTCGGAATCGGAAGGAACCCGTAGAAGACTGTTTCAAGAAGATCCCGTGTGTGGCTGGCTTGAAGCTCGTAATTCTGCATTTTACATCTGTTGAGCTTCTGAAGGCAGCAGTCACGCCAGGAGCCCAGACACCTTTCAGCCTTGCTTTGCGATGAAAGCCAGAGCTCGACTAGCCAGGTTCCAGCCTCCTGTGCAGGTGCCGTGGGCGGTTTGGAGGGTGGTCTCGGGACGTTCACTTGGAAGTCTCCAGCCGTGCCGTGCTTTGATTGCTCGGTGCCCGTACACTGCCCCGAACTTGACCTGCCCTGATCCTACTGATGAATCCTGACGGCATCCGAAGCCAAGAGAAAGATCGTTCGTTGAAATCGCCAGGAACTGCCATGTGCCTCGTTCTCGTGGATAAGCATCAGAGAAGCAAAAAAAGACAGAGTGGCCCAATTAACCAGTCTCCTAGCCAACTGTGGTGGGAAAGGGGCTGTATGTGGAGTTGCAGGCTGTGCCTTCGCCTGTGCCTGTGGCGCAGGCATGCCATGTTTTCGCGTCCAGTACACCGGGTGCCGTCCCGGTTGCGGGGGGTCATCTGTGCTGCAGGCAGTGCCACAAGCACCGATCGCAGCCCAGCAGGCGATGTGGCAGCTTCATGCTCTTCTGGTCACATGTTTTTTAGGATATTTCAGGGGCACAGACATCTTCAGACTGCGGTGAGTAGGAGTGATAGCTGATAGCAGCTAGTTCCCATACAACAAGAGCTTGAAGAGGTGGATGCCCCGTCATCACTGGTTCTTGGCTTGGAGTGAGATTGCATGGAAGATTGTATAGTCACGCGTCGAACTTCTAAGGCCTCCATGGCACTGGAGTCAGACGAGGTAGTGGAACGCCGGCTCCAGATCTTGACGAAGATCATCGAGTGCTCCGGCAAGCTATGGACACCAAGAGGCTGCTGAACAATCAAGTGCTCTCCAACTGCGCTTTGCTTTGAGGCGCAAGCCGCCAAAGCCCGATGAACTGCAAGAGATCATGAAGGTTCCGGGCCATCAGAGCTGGAAGGTTTACCTCAGATCGCTTGCAGGGCTTGCGGAGTTGAGAGTTGAGGGATTTCATGTATATAGCTGAATTCAGCTTGGGCTTAGGTTAGGTGCATCAAGCCACGCGGCTCTCGTTCCCGGATTCATGTCGTCTTCTTCCACAAGCTTTTGCAGAAGCCTGAACAAGTAACTAGAAGTTTCGTCTGAAGCTTGCTCGCCTTAGTCCTCGCACGAAAGGTGCCCGAGATTCGAAAGGCCATCGTGCGAGCCACAGCGAAATCGTACTCAAGTGCAGTATTTGACAACTCCGGTTCGCCAGATTGACTGCTTCAGCAATGGCCCCGTGCCACAAGGGTTCTTCGGATTGGCAAGCGCTTTGCGATGTTTACTTCGTCCCATCAAGGCTATGCAGCAGAAGAATCAGCGGCAGGAGGCAGGATGGAGGAAAGGGCTGTCTTTACGCAACCATGTCGTTCCATGTAGATAGACATGATAAGCTGGACACCCTGCGGTTCAATGGATTGAAGGGGTAGCTTGTACAATGCAATACTAGCTCCCTGCACCATGCGCTGCTCGATACTGCATGCATGTTGCTTCCTGTTGTATTGTGGAGGCAATGGCCATGCTGTCCCAGTTCAAGCAGGTCCGGCATGGTGCTGGCAGCTGGGGTTTGGTCAACGGGCTGCTGTAGCAGCTGGATACTAGTTGGAAGGCTTGTGATCTTGCGATCTGCATTGGTGCATGGTGGCTTACTCAAGACTCTAGACTAAAGCTTCCACCTGGTGCTTAAGTCTCGTTGAAAGGGATGTGTTGTTCGAATCCCAACCCGACCTCTGCGCTTGCAGGAGCTGGAGCGAAGGCCTGCGCACTGAGGTTGTGGTCTAAATGTCCTTTGAGTTCTCGATGCATCTCCCAGGCACCAACAGATCCTATCAGAGCGCGTGCTTGGGCTGAAGTCTGGTGAAGCGTCTAGAGTCTAGATGTTCAGAGCATTTAATGACATGTGTGGGGCAGCAGCATCGCAGTGTCCGGGTGCGATGATCTAGCAGAGCCTGCTGAGGACCCGCGGCTTCGAAGTGAGCAGAAGCGCAGCGATGCCAAGGAGAAGAGGGAGAAACAGCAGCTCTACGATGTCGCTCGATGTAATACATCTTGAGCAGCATTGGTCGAAGTGGGATGTGCCCGTGTTGGAGAATGCATCATCGCAAACAATTCACAACTCTCCCTGATGAATCTGACGGGCGCAGGACCCGCGACTGCAGGACAAGAAGTGCGGCACCTATTTTGATGCTGTGCTGTGTTGGCGGTTAGAAAATTGCCGTCTTATGGCATCGGGATGAGAGGTTGTGCATGCGACTTTGAGGCCTCAAGATCCGAGGCATGCTGCGGAGGTCGGAAAGGGAGTCAATACTTGTGGAGGGTGTTCTTCGTCGCAGTGTGAGGGCTTTTCCTACGCTACCACTTCGGCGTGTATTTCGCTTGCGTGTCCGGCAGGGCAAAGGCCCCGCGCGGCCTCCAGATCCACGGCGCCAGGCCTGCGATCGGGAGCGCTTGAGCCTGTAAAGCTGCTGCCTTGGCACAGGCTGATGCGGAAACTTCCAAGGAGACCGCATCAGAACCAGCCAAGAAACGTGTGAAAGTGGAGGGTGATGCTGATGTCACCACCGTCGTCAGCGACGACGAGGTGGGTGAATTGTGGGCAGCTGCAAATTCGGCCGCGGCCCTGGCTGCCCTGTGCAGGTGGAAAAGATACCCGACGATGAGGACATGCCGCTGGTCCCAACCAGGCCTGGTGGTGCGGTTTGCAGCGGATCGCAGTTGGTCTTGGATTGACAGCCTTTAATGCTTTCGCGGCATAGAGATGTTGCCCCCGAATGACCCCCACATCGTGCAAGGCAGTTTTTGCAGGGCATGCCCTCGCTGGGCTTCTCGGAGGTCCGGGCGGGAAAAGTAAGATTATTGAGATGTACTTGCTGTTACACTTGTAACTTGGAGGCTCCGGTTTTCCAACGCGGTTTGCTTTCTCTGCTTCCCTTTGGCAGGCCTGGCTTCGGCAATTCATGTCCCAGATGCCTCGGATGCTCGGAGAATTAGGATTATGGGACGGGACGATTGAACAGTGTTTTTCGGGTGACCCTAAGGAAAGGCGAGGCCAGAGAACGACGGCGGCAGCCAGCCAGGGCTGAGAGGTTTTTTTTGCATGTTTGGCTTCTATGGATCCTTCAAGGGCACCCGCGAGTGGAGTCCAAGTGCTACACAGTGCTACTTCTGTACCAGTGGTCCGTGCCGGGCAATGGTATCTTTCAACCAAAAACAGCTGCATCCACGACACGAAATGACGTAGAAGCTCTGGTGCCAATACTGCTCAGGTCGGACGAAAAATCCTGGGTGCTGCTGGCGAGCAAATGGTCTATGTAGATGCAATGTCTCCCGGCGACGTGTCTGCAAGGGCTTTCCCGAGTGAGCGTCTGAGTTTCTTGCCTCGAACATGGCCGCAGCCTTTTAAACCCAGGTGAGATGCTGCTGCTGATGCAGTTTGTGTTTATGCTGGAGGATCATGCGATTTTTTCAGGTCTTGTGAGTCGTATGCCTGACAGCGGCGAGGAGAAACTCCGGTCCACTGGACGCTCTGTGGACCTGGCCCAGCGGGTCTCACACAGCTTCAGCTTCTTGGCTGAGTCATCACCACGGCTCTGTCAAGAAGTTTCGACTAAGTTTGACAGCCCCCGTCGGTTGAAGTGTAAGCGCAAGCTCCGACATGTTGCTCCGGGAGGCTACCTGCAGGTCGACCTTGCCGTTGATGTTATCTGGCCGCAGGGGGATATTTGATAAGGGTGGTTTCTGCGCGCAGGCTGGAGGCCGGCTTGTTCCGTGTCCCAGTGTATTCCAAGGTGATGCTGAAGTGGGTCTTTGACGGGCTGCCCTTTCAGTGTGGCACGACAGGACTCTGCAGCGGGTAGCCGAGTTTAGCCGAGTTCTCTTCTCAGAGACTTTGCAGAGGACTTCGCTTCGCCAACCGCGAAAAGCTGCGACGGCAGAACGAAAGCCTCAAGAAGCGGAAGGAGCTGAGGCTCTTTGGAACAAGGGCTGGGAGGAATCTGGGTCGGCTGCACTATCCGTCTCGAAGGGCTCCTCCCGATTGGACTCTGAAAGTGTCTCTGCCTTTTCTTCTTGACATGGGCCCCCTAACCAGGCAGATGAACTCCGAGGCTAGAGGCTGGATGGATTCCATCCCAGACTGGGTCGGCAACCGCCGCCGGGCCGCAACATGCAGAGCATCGATGAGCGCTTTGCTGATGGAGAGATGTCACGTTGTCTGGACTACTGGTAGGCAATAGCTGGTCGTAGCGTAAAGTCGATCTGTCATCTTGCATGAAAGCATTGCACATCGCGACGGCCATCGTTTCACTGAGTAAGCATGCTTGGGCATGCTTGCAGCAGTCAGCTTTGGTTTGCATGCATGTTCTTCGGAGTGCCCGTCCCCGAACTCTCGGCTTCCTGCGTAGTCAGCTCTAAGCTCAAGGCGACCTCGTTGTGGGCCCTGCGCTGTTCCGGCTTGGGGGTGATGTCGGCAAGGCTCCTGAGCATTGCCAAAGCCTGCAGTGATTTCTTGGGTTGGTGAATAGCTGGGCCCCTGGCACCACCAGATTCACCCTGCGGCCCCAGCAGTACCGGCACCAGCATCACCCAGCAGAGCCAGAAGCACCAACGGCCTCAGCAGCAGCAGCAGCTGCTGCCACCGCCACCACTACTACCGCCACCAGGAGGATGAGGATGAAGATGAAGATAACGATGATGATGCTGATGATGATGCTGATGATGATGCTGATGATGATGCTGATGATGATGATGATGACGATGATGATGATGATGATCATGGTGATTGTCATGGTAGTGATGACGGTGATGATTGCGCCGAGGACGGCGATGATGCTGCTAGTACTGGTCGAGCTGATGCTGCTGCTATTCCATACTGCAGCATGTCGTGCCCGTCGTTCGAGTCACGCTCGTTGCCTTGTTCAGGCGGCCCCGGTGGAGGCTCCCGCTGCTTTGGACGAGTTGCCCGAAGAGCGCTGGGAGGCAGCCTTGTTTGTGGTAGTTCGCATTCAGTATCTGAGTTGCGCAGACTTTCACTTCGTCCGACATTCCTAGCAATCTGAATTATGGCTGCAAGCTTGGGGTAATTTGCGTTTCGTCCCATTCGACAGGTTCCGTGTGATGAGCGTCGCTCTGCCGACTGCCCGGCAAAGCAAAGTGCAAAATCACTTCCATTGCCGCCTAGCGGCCTAGCTTAGCTGTGCCTATGTCGTTCAGGTGTGTCCCATCAGCGGAGAGCGCTTCGACAGGCAGGGGCCGAGTGCCGGGGAAGCCGTCAACGGGGACTCTCGGGAAACCCTGGCCCTGACACATCCTGACACGCTGCCAGGGTCTGGAGCAGCACGCTGAACGACTGGGCTTTCGTCGGTGCCGTGGCTGCTGAGGCGAGTGCAACGCGGCCGTTGAGGCTGGGTGCACCATGGGGAGCTGCTTGACCCGGGCTTGCCTCCTCATCTGTTGCACAGTTGCCGTGCCGACAGTCCTGGCTGGAGCGCCCTTCCATGCTCAAGCAGTTGCAAAGAACGTCCACGGGTTCACGCGACACAAATCGCCATGCCTTCCGCGACTCCACTGAGCCAAGCCGCACGTCGACGCATCTTGGCCGACCTCAAGGGCCTCCAAGAAGAGCCTATTCCATTGGCGGCAGCAGCACCATGCTCGGATGCTGACCTGAGCCTGTG